TCTCTCTCTCTCTCTCTCTCTCTCTCTCTCTCTCTCTCTCTCTCTCTCTCTCTCTCTCTCTCTCTCTCTCTCTCTCTCTCTCGGTGTATGTGTGTGTGTGTGTGTGCGAAGTGCACGTGCTTGTGAAGTCGACTGAATAGGGCCGGCGCTCTAAGAGCCCTGCACGCACTAAAACCACAGACCATTGACTGTTTAGCACTTCTTGAAGGTGCTCACCTAGACATACAGAAAATACTTGGAACAAAATTGGAGGAAGGACAAACAACAAGAGAAAGACGGACAGGCCAAAAACTGATAGTTTGTTTGTGTGTGTGTGTGTGTGTGTGTGTGTGTGTGTGTGTGTGTGTGTGTGTGTAGCACGGTACCCTACAGCAAGCTGCGAGACAGCCGTTCTGGTGATAAGCTGTTCTCATGCATCCAATCCATAGCAGAACCCATTATGTGCTTTAGATATAACCACACCAGTGACACCTCCCTTAATCCTTACCCCATTGAATATGCTGGAGATATGGGCGGATAGCGAGACTCTGAGGGGGTGCCAGAAGCCGCCCATCGGACGAGCCCTTGAGGTTTCCACAGTTCCCGCCTGAAGGGGCGTTTTTTTCAAACGAGACCGACCGGTCCCTTCGTGCGGTTTGCAAATTCGAGAGTTGGCCTCCAGTCTTGGTGGACATGTCGTCGCTGCGCTGTCGTGTAGTGTCTGTCAGTCAAGAATGCTCACGGGCGTCTCTGTTCTTTCTCCTCTATCATGCTCATTGGCAAATCTTTCTCCTCAGATATGCTCTGACGAAAAATGCTCATGCGCTGACTGTTGTGACAGTCCTTAACTTCACTTTGGGCATAGCCACACCACACTCGAAATGTGCAAAATGAGCGCGAAGTTCGAACTTCGCACTAGAACATGACCAGATGCACCCGCCATGTTTTTGTCTTTTTCACATTTCCAGAGTGGTGTGGCTAGCTGGGCTTGACCAGTTTCGTTGCTGAATCGGACTATTTTTGTCTGTTTCTAGATTTGTCTGGTCTGGTATGTGTTTGTTCCCGAGAACCCGAGTTTTTTTTTTTTTTTTTTTTTTTTTTAACACGCCCCCACCAGTGCTAGTGGTCCTGATAAGAGCAGACACGGCTAGCACCTGGGGGGAACCCGAGGTTATAATGTCCAGACAGGCACTACTTCTGTCTGAACTGGTGCCAGTTCGGAGTCGCGGAGTACTGTTTTCGGGCGTGGGCACACCAGTCTCGAAATGTGCAAAATGAGAATGAACTTCCCGCCAGAACATGGCCAGATGCGGCCGCCAAATTTTGTCTTTTTCACATTTCGAGAGGCACTGTGGTGTGGCGAGGCCCTTCCACGTTTTTTTCCCCATTCGAGACCGACTAAGGGCCTCGCCGCACCACTGTCGAAAGGCACAAAAATTCGACGGCTGTCAGAAAAAATTTGACAGCCTCCATTCGACGCCTCCATTCGACAGTTTGACCCCCCTTCGCCACACAGCACTGTAGAGTGCACGCACTTGTGAAAGAAGGATGGGAAAAGACAAACGCTCCTGAGGGTACGACAAGCATCAGTCCATCCCGACCTTACCCCCACTCAACAAATTTCGACGCGAAGTGGACGGCGCAGCCGAGGAGTGTCGAATGCATCGGTGTAGCAGGCTGGGGATTCAACGACTTTCGACAGGAGGTGTGGCGAAGAGGAACTGTCGAAATTAGCATTTTCGACAGTGGTGCGGCGAGGTGCTAAGGGCCATATCCCACTGGCAAAGAGGATTGGAAGAAGTGTCTGAATCTGGACGTGTTCCAGGCAAAGGTGCAGAAAAGTAGATCAATCACAAGTTTTCGGACTTGTCCACAAACACATCCACATTCCAACACTTACTGCAATCCTCTTTGCCAGTGGGATCTCGCCCTAAACTTTTGGTCCGCAGCTGGGGACCTGTGGTGGAACAGATTTTTTCCTGTAATTGCTGGTCACCCTAGTCCTTCTTAGGGCGTACTAAAACTAGGACTTTTTCACTTACTTCTGGATGGAATTGCGGCCAGATGCATACAGGTGTGGACGAAATTGGGGTCTGATGCATTTTGGAAAGTGCTAGTGTGAGTATGCCCTTAGGAACAGCACAGTTATGGCAGGATACCTGGACATCTGATAGGCACCTGGGCTAGGGATTCTTAGGCCTGGGTGACTTGACAAGGACTTGAGTCTGCATCACAGACCGTGGATCGTGTGACGGCCCTAGCCGCAGG